TTTCAGATGAGCGTAAAAACGTTATTCTGCATTTTGTCATGCAATCTAAAGAACCCCGTTTAATAAATTTCCTATGCTTCATTTTTTAAGGTAACAGAACTAACGTTAAATAAATACATGTAAGAAAGCTTATGAAGAAATAAAAGTGAAATAATTAAACGAATAAAAATAGAAGGAATAAATAAAGAAAGAAAGACACAGGCAATTTATAAATAAGAAAAAATAAATTGTGTCGTCCACAGCGGTCTTCTGGGTTATGACGTTGTGTGCACTAGCAGTTTGGTACCAATATTTCGAAGGAACATAACGCCTTCATTTTCAGGGCTGAAATCAGAACCCAGAAGAACGCCACGGGCACCGTCACAGCTCCCAGTCGAGCGTGTGTCATTTAAAATTACATTTCTGGTCGTGGCTGTTTTACTTGAAGACTGACACCAGCGCTTGTAGCCGTGTTGCTGTTCTACGCGTACGTACTGGAGCATCTGGGAGCTGGGCCGCTGTGGCATTTGGTCGTCAAGAGGAACGCAGACCTCTGCAAGGAGAGCCTCTGGAGAAATATCATCTACATCCAGAACTTCTTTCCGTTTGAAAAGATGGTAAGCCATAATTAGTTCAAATGGAATTCTTATGAAAGGTCAATTTCAGAACGTACCATCGACTTGCAAATCATCATGAATTGTTAGAAATATTTCGAAATTATTTATATAGGAGCGTCAAGTCATTGAGGAACTCTTCATAGGAAATGTATTCCCAACAATGTTTTTTCTTCGAGAAAGTTCAGAGTAGTGCTCAACATCAGTTTCATCAACTTCTGCAGTGGATTAGGCTCTCACCTGTTCCGGCGTCTCAAATCTCTTTCTAGTTCACCCCATATCTCGTCTTCCTTTCAGTTTATAATTCAAGACTTGTCTTCTGTCTTCCATTCAATTTCATACCATTATTCTGTTATTCTTCCATTTTTCTCATCATTTATTTTCTGATTTTCCGATGTTCGTCTTTTGTAACGTCATGTAGACTTGTAGATAGGCACCAGAATTTTGGAGGAACATACCATCTTTATCCTCAGGACTTCAAACCTGAAGATGGAATCAGTATTTTTATCCGAAACGTCGGTATCCACCTACAAGTTCACAAGGCACCACAAGCCAGAATACCAACATCGACATCTCAAACGATATGAGAACTTCATATCTCATTCACTTTTCTCGCCATTTATCGTTCTATACGAGATTCATGTAACGTAGAAAGACTTAATGTCGGTTCGACCACATCTCACACACATATCTTAAAACCTTTAGTAGTGTATTTGCCTTTGGGGTTAGCGGCAGGATCACAGAGCTAACAGTCACTGCATCTAATGCCACATAGTCGTAAGGAATGAGTGGAGCTGTACCTCCATTTACTGTCCCTGTTTCAGTGCGCAACTCACACCCATCAGTTGGCCCTCGACATGCAACTGTCACTTCTGTCGCCGCTACTAGTGACACTCCTGTGGCAGTGGCGTGTCTGCGGAGTGCTGGTGCTGTTATGCCTCCACGCCCTGTCTGCTTCTCTGCGTTACTTAGCAACACTCCAGCATCATCTGTCACTCGTCATCTTCCATGGCATGTCGTGAGTTTCAAAGTGGTTTGCTCGAAAAATTTTACATTTATGATTATGAGATGATAATGTTGCGTCATATTGTGTCATATTGTGATGATTGTAATTGTTTAATTTTAACCGTCTAATCACAATAAAATATTTTATTAAATATTAAAATATTATTATTACAATTAACATTTAATATTTAAAATATTTCGATAGAAAGAGCATCATTTTAATATATTTTAATATATTTTAATATATTTTAAATATTAAATGTTAATTGTAATAATAATATTTTAATATTTAATAAAATATTTTATTGTGATTAGACGGTTAAAATTAAACAATTTATGATTATATTTAAATGTAAAAATCTAAACCCAGAACTGATATTACAAGTATCCCCGATAAAGGGTGACCAACTGCGACGCATTGAATTACCTTCAGATTTCGGAAGGAAATAGCTTTCTATATTTTCTCGCTTCAAATTTTTAACATTTTTAGGTGATAAGATTCGCAGAATATAAAACACTCATAATTAACTTATATATATTTTTATACGCGTGTGGGGGGGGGTGGAAATGTAGGCTAAATCAGGGGTTCTCACTCTTTTTCACTGGCGTACCACTAACCCAATGCGTTCAGGGGAAAACTGTTTTTTATATTAATACTATATTTTGATTTTCTTACTTAGTTCACATAAAATTCAACATTTCCTCGCGTACCACCAGTGGTATGCGTACCATAGGTTGAGAAACGCTGGGCTAAATCTTACAGAGTCGATAAATTTCCCTTTCAGGTGTGCTGAGAGAGATTGTGTATGTTGTCTAAGGTCCAGAGAAATAGGAATCACTTTGTAACAATAGTATTTGTCTGTTTTCAGTGTGACACAGTTGTATCAAACTGCAAACCTCAGTTACAGCCAATCAATCCACAGAGCGACTCCGTACCTGCTGGGAGTTTCCTTGGGGTTCCTACTGCATAAGACTGACAAACACGTTCACGTCCCGAAGGTAAGTGTTCTCTTAGTGCAGACGTTGGGGGTAAATTATAAAAATTTCTTCATAAGGGAGAATTTGTAAAAAGCTTCAAAAACTTTCTAATTCCACGGAGTAAATTCGTTCTTGAAGACTTGACACAGCAGCATGTCAGCTAGTCAAGAGGTTCCCCGAATTTTATAAAACCCCCGAAGTCCATTAGCAAGTTCGTGTTCACAAAAGAGAGCTACAGGTCCTTGTCCAGAACAGGAAAATTAAGTCCATCTTATTTTAATATTATCCTCTTATATGAGTCTAGTCCTGTCGAGTGGACTCTTCATTTAAACATTCTACCCAAAATGTACACATTTCTCATTACTCGTATTAGTGCAACATACCAGACCCACCTCATATTCCCTGGTTTTATCATCGTAACAGATGCTGACGAAGAGTTAAAATTGTAATAATATTTTTATTCGTTTATACCATAAAAAATTATTCTATGAAAACAGATTACATCTACTCGCTCCACAATTAACATACTTTAAATTAAACATCATACTTACACTTCTTCACGAAAAACAATACAGCATACGTCACACAGAACTTATTTCATTAAAACTATTCTACTCGAATTTTTGTTGAAGTCACGTGACGCTAAAGAGCCTCACTAAAACGTACATCATCAAACAATGAACGGAACATTTTTTTCAATATTGATGAATTTATACATCATCTGTCAAATACGTAAAGTGTGATAGCGCGTTCTCTATGACGTCCTCGCCCATTTAACATCTCGTATTTTGAACATGGTTTATACTACCGCAAACAAACAAAATTATCCTTTAATATCTCATAGCATAGACAATACTAGCACGCCTTGGAACTATTTGTTTCAGACAGCTGTTTGGGCAGGCTGGTTACTGGCCATCTACTTTGCGTACCTCTCCCTGCTTTCACCGTCTAATCTCGGGCTAAGAGACTACGAATATGATGTTCACTATGCATCAACATATGCAGCTTTTTCGCCTATCATCTGGTCACTAGCTCTTTCGTGGCTTGTGTGGGCGTGTTTTACGGGTTACGGAGGTAAGTTCAAGAACAAATTATAAGGTATTCAATGTGGTTTCAGCCCCTCTAATTGTCATCTGTATGTGCCCAACATCTGTGGAAAATATTCGCCCAAAAATGTTTCGATATTATTGTCAGTTACTCATAAGTATGCAGTGATAACTTTATAATATAGAAAGTTGAAGTACAATTAAGAATCGTTTTAATAAAAAGTAGATCAAGTGGAGAACCGCATAAACCAGTTAACTTATTTTTAAATATAATTCTAAAACGTTAAGGGACATATTTATTTGTTGATTGATTGGTTTAGAAGAGATTGTATATCAGATTAATTTTTGCCCCTTAAAATCACAAATATTTTTCCAGCGTGGATTGATTGATTTGTTTAATTATAAGTGTAAACATCGAATATTTTCTTAAACAGCGTTAACCCGTTGATATTAACGGTGAAGTGTGGTGTTTTCTTAGCGGTAAGGACTAAATTTCAAAAAAAAAAAAACAGAAGTTAAAAACGTTCTACTCTCCCTGTCTCTCTTGAAAACGTATCTTTATATTTTTTTTGAAAATAGAAAGTCGCAAGACGTAGTAAAACAATATAAAACAATTCTCTTTTGCTACAGGTTACCTGAATACGTTCCTTTGCTGTAAAGGTCTGGTGATATTCAGTCGAATATCGTACGCTGTGTATCTCACACAATTCGCTGTTTTTTTCTACAATGTTGGCAGCATCAGAGCCTCCGGGGAATTCAGCGTGTTAAGAGGAGTGAGTGGTAAAAATATTATTTTCTAATTTGACTATTTAATATATTTCTAAATAAATTATATTAAAATATATTGACGTGTTTCTTAATAATGATCATTGCTTCAGATCCCAAAGGGCCCAAGGAGCCCCGAATCTAGTTACCATTAATGTGACGGTCAGATTTGTATCTGCAAAACTCAAAACGCGATCAAACGGCAGTTTTCAACCTAAATAATTATTTCATCCGATCAATGTGATTTATCATTTTATTATTATTATCACAAGTCAGGATGAATAAATTTTCTCATATCTGCATTGATGTTTGCGTGTTAAAAAATTTCGGTAACTTTCTAAGGCTCCTCTCAAAAAAGAAAGGTTTCGCTCTATATTAATTCCTTTCGTCAATGGATCATTCAACAGATCATGACAATCATCGTTATTCAGTCACAAAGTTTCGATCGATCGTCAAGACTGAATGATTACTACTCCTTTGTATTCCATGTATCGCGGGTTAACGTTTTTCCCAGAGACCGGCTATCCACATTGAAGTTCTTCGTGATTTTTCTTAGTCCCTCCAAGAAGAATCCTGGATACATTAAATCAGGCAACGACTCCTTCCTTACATATCCCATCTAATTTACTGTTCATTAGTCATTCTATCATTCGACGCTGTATAGTCTGAGCTACTGTCAGCGTCGTTAAATAAACCATAAACCAAATCAGGTATATTTCTGTTTCTTACGGCGGCGAGTATAAAGATAGACCGAAGTTTCAGAGGTATTTATTTCCCAAAATCGGCGACTCATCGCCCTGATGATGGAGTCTGTAAGCATCTGCGAAGCCTCGGTCAATTTTTATCAGACTACACGGCATAACATCCCATTTCAATTGTGTTTTACTTGGCTCAAAGGATTGACATAACATTTTATATCTGAAAATAAACTGAGCCGGTATAATCAAAGCTATAATATGATCTACTTAATATGACTTATTTTTCTTACTTAAGGTTGACGTGGTAGAAGTACTGACGGTTGTTGTGGTTTCCGTTGCACTGACTCTCCTTTTTGATTTACCAATGCAGCACATTAAAGCAGTTCTTATGGGCGTTGGTAAGCCACGTAGCATATGAGCACGATTAACTAACCCAAGTATGCCTAACTACCATGAACGTGTGTGCAAAATATTTTAATTCTCTTTCTATCGGAAAAAATTAAAACGACATTAATTTACTAATATGTGAGCAAAGACCAGTGGAAAATTAATATATTATTACTATTATTACTATATTTTAATTTTATAAATGTTTGTCTTTATCAGTTAATTCGTGTTGTGTATTATTACCTTGAATGAGCTTTCATTGACCTCCATATTTTTGCAGTTTCGTATTCACGGGCGACGCAACGATTAGATATTTTACGTAATGCACTCTTGCAATGTAAAAATCTCTTGGAAGTACATAGATAAGCTTGTAGCTCCTTTCAAATTCTGATTTGCTGGATTTTTGTAAAATGTTTGAACCGAAGATAATTTCTCCGACTGAGAGCGAATTTTTTTTTCCCATGAGCTTACATCTACTAAATCTCTTTAAATATTCACCAATTTGAAAGAATAACCCTCAAATAAAAGTTATTGCTTACGGTGGTTCAGAAACCTCAACAAAATTCCGATGAAGATATCATTTAATTCTAAAAAAATATATTTTTATGAAAGAATTTAAAATTTCTTTTGTGGGGTTCTACGTTCATAGATGTCACACTTTATCCTTAGAGGTCCTCAAACTTAATTCAAATTTTTAAATATATTTTCGCATTGTAACTGAGTCCTTCCAACTACTAATAATTTCCTCGCTTTGAAATCTTTACAGAAGAGAGGTAATTATATGTTGCACTGAGTGATAATAAGTAGACAGACAACGGTGCAAATTTAACATAATTTTCACTGTTATTTCAGATAAGAGACGTTCCAAACTGACTTGAAGAGCATTACGCTTTGAAGACAATAAAATTGTAATCAAGTACAATGCAACGTGAATTCCAATGGTAATTGAGGTTGCTGTGGGATAGTGTTTTTGTGTTTCTGCTGTTTTATGACTGCATTCTACATCCAAGACTCTGTGGTTCAGAAAACACATTCTGTTGACGCATTCTTAGAAATCAGTGATGTAAATATAAATAAAAATATATATATATATATATATAATAATTTTCATGTTTATATCGTCATATTATAGTAAATTGTACTAACCTGTCTTATATTTTCTTAATTATTCTTAATGTGATGTTTAACTGTGACAATAAAATCACACATGATCACCAGCTTGTAATATAATATTAATAATAATTTAATTCGTAGAAACAAATTTTGTGGGTACGATCTGTTCACCACATGCAGGGAATCACGTTTACTGCGTTGTCCTATAGGCCAACTTAACTTCAGCGGACTGACAATACAGGTTTATTAACTCTCTAGCAGCAATGACTTTGTTTACAGAACGAAACGCTATCATAACGAACGATCCAAAAAAATGTATACGATTTTAACGCAGGTCACAAATAGCCACCTAGAAAAAGAAACTTTTGTGTTGTTAGATTTATATATATATATTTCAATCTGTCAGTCTGTAAAAATTCTAGATTCGCAGATGACAGCTATTCGGTTAATTAATACGAGTACGTTAATCGGTTGAAACGAGCGTACTTTGTGATAAGAAATATAGATTAATTTATTATTAACCTAGATGTATTAACAAACCACGTTGGAGATTATTCACCGAGATACTAATTTCTTATTATTAAATTTTAAAAAATTCACATTACATTCATTGTGTTTTACCACGTAAATTTCCGAATCGAACGCCGTTATGAGTAAATAACGAATAGTTTCTTGTTAATTTACAATTTACAAAGTCTTAGAAGTCGTAAAACCTTAAACATTTACTACTCTTCTGTGTCCAGAAATTGGAAATACCACATGTCTCCCCCGCCCCAAACCTCACCCGTAAAGTCGGACGGGCATTTCATCTTTCTAAAGTTGATGATTCTTCATGGTTTTAAGATTTCTAAAACTTTTTCAAGCGCAGACATTAGACACACAGAAAGTAGCCTCTTAGACTCGCCTGATATCGGATATGTACATTCGTTGTCTTTAAATTAACAGTTGAACTACAAAGCCAGTATCGTCTGCCATTTTCTCATACAGATAGACTGTATTAATGTTCCAAAACTTTATATTTATAATCATCATAATTATATTCAATTCATTTTATGTTGGTAATGATTTTAATAACAAACATTAGAAATGATTCAATTCAATTCTTTATTATTTGTGTGCTGTATCAACAGCCAGATGGCCAATTACAGATACAGCACAGAGATGAGCTCATGAACACAATAAAAGCATAAAAGATAAAACAAGCAATATATAAAATACATTGATACGGAAAAAATAAATACACAAAAAAAAATTACTACTAAATATATTAGGATATTTGTAAAAATAACATGAATCAATTAAGTAAATTATACTATTATAAAATGTGAATAATAAATATAATGCTTGTATAGGAATTTTATACTCAACGTGTGTTTCAGGAATTCATATTTACTAGTCTGTCTCGTTTTGGGTCAATAGTTAGTGTGTAATGTAAGTTGACTGGTTTTTAACCAATGGCATGAAGCCACATGACGTCACTTCTAGAATTTTTTTAAAAAAATTCGTAGCCCCCGAAAGAGAAGGGCTGCTATTGCTGGAAAGAATATTTCTTCAGTCTTTCACCCTCCGCCTTTGAGGTCGGGAGAATTCTGCAGCTACGATGGACACGTGGGAATTGATAAGGGAACTTGGTGATTTTGTAGCACCGTTTTCGCATAATATTCCGGATACATTGTGTAAGAATCACAGCCTTGCTTATTTCAATGGACTGCTAAATGGAACATCATGGGCCAAGAGCAGTAAGTAATTAAGATTAATATTGAACAAAATTCGTGTAAATTGTACGGTCTTATTATTGTGGACTTAAGCTTTATCGATTATTAAATTACACATTTTGTGCAATACAGAATTTAGTTAAAAACAGTATTTTCTTGGATAAAATAATTTCATTATTTTAATCAGACTAAATCCACGTAATGTTCTTGGTTTTCCTGCCCGTCACATTTTGTAAACTCTGCTCACTTCCTTTTTTACTTAAACAACGTGTTTCGAACAAATGTGGCCATCATCAGGTTCAATTAACTTCTTCTATGTTATTGCACATAACATTGTCAAATCTGTTGCCTTAAAACTCCGTAATTATCACAAAATAGTGTTACTATTAATAATTTTTTTGTAATTATCTGTACGCTGGATTATTTAAAAAAATTGTAATTATCTGTACGCTGGATTATTTATTATCTTTATTCTGGTAGATGTTAAATTCAGTCGGTCTGCAAACTTTAAAATTATATAAATTCCAAACTACTGTGGTATCTGTGATTTACATAAGAGGTTTAATTTTAAGTAAATAACTCGCATTGCCTGTATTTTATTTCTTTCGTTTTCAGTGTGGGATTCTTCAGCGAAATTACAGTCTGGTCTCTTGACGGGGAACCTCAACTCGTTCGGCAACTTTGACGAATGCATCTCCGTCACAGACGTCCAGCACGAGAATGGAAATTTCAGCGGACAACATTGCCTCACGACTCTAAACCTTGTTAACGTATCAAAAACTGACGTCATGGGAAACATTCTGGGGCAGATCATGGATCAAGAGGAAATGATAAATATGGGGGTGCGAGAATTCGAGAGACTATTTTGACCATTTGTCTCCTACTGAGAGAAATTCTACATTTCCAGAAAGATTGACACAGTGCAACACAAAAAACTTGAATGTTCCATGGAAAAGTTAAAATACGAAAAATATACCAGAAATAGCTCGTAATAATAAGAAAGCCATTGAAGATGATTTATTAATGGAATTATTTCTTGTATTAGTTTTGTATATATGACAATTTTAAAGGATTCTGACGACGGTTTATTATATTCAAAATTACGAAAATGTTGGACTTGCCTTTCGCGTTCGCTCCAGTGACAGGCTGGCTCTTTTTAACGGACCCGACTGAGATGCCCCGTCCTCTCTTAACATGAGGACGGAAACAAATCTAGTTTCCGTAACGTCATTTAGAATACCAGACAATGAACGAAGCCCAGGGATTTCGAAAATTTTGTATATTTCACCGTCAGACCCCTTATGCATCACACACATTAAGAAATATGAATAAAATTTACTTTTGTTTGCTGCATTTAAAAACTAAAAGACCATAATGTATAAATAAAAACATAGAATCGCAGTTCCAGAGATATGGATAAAGATTTATTTACATTAAATATTTAAAGAATTCAGTTTCTAAAAATAGCCGTCTTCTGGGATGTAGAACTGTTAAGTTCGGTTGGTATTAATTGACATTTTTAGGAGGTTAGAGGCGGTAATCTCGCCTAAAATGTCGGCCGTTATCTACCAAACTATACGGCGCTACGCCCCAGAAAAATTTCAATTACCGTGAGATCTTAAGATTTCATACTTAAGTCTCTCTTGCAGCTGGGATCACTGTTGTCGAAAGGTATGCGCTGGGGCATCTGTATTCCGTCTTCCTGCACACCTGAAGACCTGACTGTTGCAATGTCGGCATATTTCGGTAACGAATCCGGCGTCAATGTTTCTGTCAACGACACGGACTGCCATACTGAATCAGCAAATCACTTCAGCTCAGTTGATAATGCTGCTATGTAAGTTACCCTCTTTCAAAATGGTGGCGGTTGTGACCTGTGCATGGCAATGTTATTTTATTATTATTAAGTGTTCTGTCTTACGACGGGTCCATTGCTCTGCCCAAAAAGAGCTCTCCAGTTTTCCCTATTCTCGGCTTCTCGCTTTAATTCCTGGAACGTCATCTTCTTTCCTTGTTTAAGATCGTCGGTTAGCTGTATCAATCTTCTTCCCAGTCCTCTCTTTCCTTCAACCTGGCCTTCGGTGATATCACTCAGTAATCCATTCCTTCTCATAATATGTCCCAGCCAGTTAGCGTTCCTTCGTGTAATCGCCTGCAGAATGTTTCTTTGCTCGTTGACTCTCCTCAATACTTCTTCGTTGGTCACTCGATCCGTCCACCTGATCTTCTCTATTCTTCTCCAACACCACATTTCAAAACTCTCCAGGTATTTCTGTTCCTTCTTCCTGAGTGTCCAACTCTCTGCTCCATACGTAACACTTCACTAGTTTCTTCTTCATCTCCAAGCCCAACTTGCTAGTGAGAAGTATCCTCTTCTTGACGAAAGCTGCCTTGGCCATGGCTATCCTCGCTGTTTAAATTTAAATAGAATTATATTAATATGTATGTAACGAAAACTATTCGTTTATGAATCAATATCTTTTGTTCCAGAATAATTTTTCTTGGGCTCCTGTTGGTTGTTATTCTGAGTACTGGATACGAATTTTTTAAAGGTATGACTGGAAAAATCAGTTAAATATAAGTTAAATCTCATTGGTATAGATATAAATACTTCGTGCTAATACTTGACGAAAATTATCGCAACGGGTAATCTCCGAATTATTTTAGGACTAAATATAACTAGCAAACAGACGTCTTAAATTAAACGAGAATTTATAATTATCAAAGTCCCTTCTTCATATTCTTGTTATATTTAGTAAAGTAATTTCCTTTGAATAATCCGCCCCCAAGTGTCTGCATAGAAAACCGTAATAAATACGAACTTGAATACCAGCTTCAGTTACGTTTTAAATTCCAACTCTTTTTTTTTTCACTAATTTCTGTTAAACTAAAACATGTTTGCAGGGAATTTACCAAGTCACAATGCTTGATGTTCGGTACATAACAAACAACTGCTTTATCGGTAGGTCCTTCTAGAATGACATAAATACTTTGTGATGAGGTTTCTGCATCAGTATAGAAAATACATTGTCCTGGGTATGTTCGAGGCTTGAACGTATTGAATTTTCGTGTAATGCTTTAAAGTATTGGTTATAAGGATTTTTTTTTTTTTTTTTTTAAGAATTCATGAACGGAGATATAATTCGGAGATGGAATTTACAACCATCTTCCTCAACCATAAGTCTGGCCTCCATGGACACAAATCCTACGACATCTACTTCGGGTTTTGAAGCGCATCCTCATGGAGCAAAATATCCTTCTGAAATGCCTCGGACAGGAGTTGTGGAAATTTCTTGTTCGAATGGAGAAGGATCAAGTCGTCAACTGCTGTACCCAGGACCTTCTCAATCAAGTCTGACTAGATCCGGTTCGGGATACCTGCCTGATGGTTCTCATTCATCGTCATCATCAAATCAGTCTTTACATCCGAAGGCGATGACCCAGTTCCTCGAGGCACAGGCAAGTCGTCGACGCGAAGAAGCTTTGATGGAAACGCCTCAGACTACATCAACCGAATCTGAGAAAGGCTTGGCACCAGAAGGGAATGTTACAGAGATATTTGAAGCAGGAACAAATATTCCTCAACAACCCGAAGATGCTTCGCCAACACGAACACCAACACCCTTAGACTCCGAATTTGACCCTTGGACTACTTTCTCTCTACTAAGCAATGGGAAGAAAGTCTTCAGTTTTGAACATCCAAAATATACGCTAAAGTCACTCTACGGTATAAAATTCCTGAGCATTTGCTGGGTTATCATTGCTCATACCTGTTCCATGACAGACAGTCTGCCAGCAATAAACTACATGAACATCACACAGGTGAGTGTACTTCATAATACGAAATAAATAATATGGATTTAAAATTTGGCGATGTTAATATTCCCTTACATGCAAGAAATATGCCAAATTTCACAAAATGTTTGAGATGACTGATAATGGGATATAATTCAGGTTCACAAGGTCTTGTAGACGCTAGTATCGCATGTAACTTCATTGTGAAATTGTAGGTAAATATCAAAGTTTTGGATGAACTTACTACCTTGATATTTAGCCCTGAAGATGGAGGCGTCAAAATATAGATTACGATCGAATTTGTTCGAGAATAATTTATATCAGCAAAGAAATGTTGTCGCTTTGCTTCTTAAATCGAAAACTCGCTAGCCACGTGTGATGATTGTTCCAGTTCACCAGTCGGTGGCCCGCCGTTCTGCTACTGAACGTCTCCCTTTCCGCCGACACTTTCCTGGTCATCAGTGGAGTCCTGATCACGTACAACTTCCTAACGGACATGAAACGACGAGGCATCTATCGTCGGACCTCAAATCGTCTGTCCAGGACTGGACTCCAGGGCAAATTCTTCATTCGCTATTTGCCGGTCTATTATTTACACCGTTATGCCAGGTATGCTACCGTCAGCGTTGAGCCTGCTACGTTACACGGAAATAACAACAAATTGTCTTCTTAATACGTGATTATTACAATTTTTAGTCACATGAAAGAAAACCCAATTTTTCTAAGTCATCCATAATAGAAATTCTTAATTATTCAATTTGTTTATTATTTAATTATGTCAGTAATTGGCTACACCACGTGGAATGATAGGGTGATTGATGATTAGTGAATTGTAAGGATATGGAAGGAAGCCAAAGTGGTCTAATTTAAGGTATTATTCCTGTTCTTTCAATAGGGGGACTGAGAAAAATTAAGAAAATAAGAGGATACCAAACTTCTGTCTTAGACTTTAAACCCGGGAACTCCCGATCACTAGGCAAGTGTATTAAAAACTCTGCAACGGCCTTGAATCCTATCAAAATATAAATTTTACTGCAATTACACGGGAATAACTTCTTTGGCCAGAATGGCAGACACTTTCCACGTCAAAGTTCTAACGTTGCATTTTATCCCCTGAACATCAGATCAGAAAGAAGGTAATAAATTCCTCATAAAGGATTTTAGCTTTGCAGTAACTTGATTTAGAAGCTGACAGTCGCGTAGCTATTAAAATTCCAGCCCCCCCCCTCCTGTGTAAACTAAAACCCAGCACAGATTTGTCAGCCAGATGAATCCAGTTCACGACCTGTCTGTTTTAAACTTTGTTACGAATCCACTTGAGCCGAGAAAATCCTTTAGGTTTTCCGATAGAAAATGGTATAGTCGTTTCTAATCTTTCCCACGCATGCTACATATCCCGCCAATCTTCTCGCCCTGGATTTGTTTATAGAGTGTCTTCCTTAGTTCAGATTTGTTGTGCCACAGGTTGACCCCTGCGTTAGCCGCCGTGTTGCTGTTTCAAGTCAGTCTCCTTAAACATCTGGGCTCTGGACCGTTTTGGGATGCTGGTAACGGCTATGACGCTGAAGTGTGTCGTGAGAATTGGGCCGGTACCCTGACCTACTTGCAGAATTATATAAGTCCAGATAAAATTGTAAGTACTATTCTCATATTATTCTTAAATCTTTAATGGTATGCTGTTCATTAACTGCATTTTTTCCCTTAGTGTACTCGTGGGTTTCCTATGATTCTAACTATAAACACCGATTATTTCCTTAAACAGCTTTAACCAGTTGATCTTTGTATTGGTGAAGTGTGGTGTTTTCTTCGCGGTACGGACTAAAATTTTAAAAATTCTTTAGATGCTCTTTGGCTTAGACAAATCGACCTTGTCTAAAACTCCTCTTGTTCTATAACACTACTTAATGTTTGGGATAGCATTGAAGCGTTTGGTTTGAGAACTTCGTATAAGTAATTTTAACAGCTATTCATGAGATGATAAAGTTGCGTCATATTGTGATAAATATATATTTGTTTAAATCTTGTCAGTCTAATCACAATACAATTCCTATTAAATATTAAAATATTATCATAATTAACATTTAAATATTTAAAATATATTAAATGATGTTTGTATTATTATTTGTTTTTAATACAATAAAATCTGGAAGAAAACATCACTTCAAATCTGATAGACATCTGACTAAAAAGTTGCATTTAAGAAATTATATTTAAGTTTATATAATTTTATACACCTGAAGATGGTTCTTTTAGAGCCGAAACATGTCGTGTAAAAAGTGATGATCTAATGTAAATCGAACATTTTGATAGAGAACATCATGTAATATATTTTAAATATTTAAATGTTAATTATAGTAATATTTTAATATTTAATAGGAATTTTATTGTGATTAGACTGACAAGATTTAAACAAGTAATTTTAAATAAATTAACTTCCGATTGACAAAAATAGTAAGCCAAAAAGTGAATACGCGGATATTTTTGTTACTAAGAGATAAATACATAGGAGGAACGTACCGGAAGACGTGGTCACTTACCAACTCAATCGGGCGTATTAAACCGATGTTGTTTTTTTTTCAGTGTCTAGTGCACAGTTGGTATCTGATGGTGGACATGCAGTTGTACGTAATTTCTCCGATAATCTTACTGCTCCTGTTGGCGTGGAACAAGAAGAGGGCTCTCATTACTGTTGGTGTCCTGATTTGGGTAGGAATGTTTGTGACCTTCAACGTCAACTACTGGTTGAAGCTGCCCGTTGGTCTCCCGATCGATGAGTAAGTTTTACTCTCATCTTCTTAATTTAACATCCGTTTTAATATTATGGAATCTACGTCTAGGTCGTCCATGTTGTCACTTCTGATCTATCGAATCGAAACTATGTATGTATTTATTTTTCAAGGTGATAATTCGCTCCTCACACTCGCTGTATTTTTACATTTTTTTAAAGTACGCTGTTTAACCATGTTTGGTTGTCTTTTAACCAGATTCATAGCTGTAAATTAAGTTCAAAATTGACAAACAGGAGATAGACATAAATCAATCTCGTACAGTAAATTAAATTTCTCAAAGAAATAAATTTGTCTCTGCTTAGTACAAGAGTTTTTGTAAAGATTTAGAAAATAAATCTTTTTCTCTGCATATGTGATTTTCATAAATCAGTGATAACGGCTTTGTAATCCTGGGGTCTCGGGTTCGATTCCCGGCGGTGCCCGAATTTATAACTTGTGTTGGGCAAGGCCGTGGTCTAGGCAACACGGAGTTTTCCTCCGTGGCATCCCAACAATGACTCCATTCACACACAGAAGAAGGCAATGGCAAACCACTGCTGGATCATCTGCCAAGAACGTATATGAACAAGTCCCAGTCCGAGAAAAGGATGGAAGGAGCCTGTTCATATGGACCTGTCGTCAGACAGAACACAAAATAAAGGAAACATTTAATAATCTTGAAGTACATAATCACGTGACCGCCACGGTGGTCTAGCTGTTAGAACGCTGGCCTTGTAATCCTGGGATCTCGGGTTCGGTTGCCGGCGGGGCCCGCATTTATAACTTGTGTTGGGCAAGGCCGTGGTCTAGGCAACACGGAGTTTTCCTCCGTGGCATCCCAACAATTACTCCATTCACACACAGAAGAAGGCAATGGCAAACCACTTCTGGATCATCTGCCAAGAATGTATATGAACTGGTCCCAGTCCGAGAAAAGGATGGAAGGATCCTGTTCATATGGACCTGTCGTCAGACAGAACACTAAATAAATAAAATAAATCAAGGAACCTTAAAATCGCCAGCTCGATTAACACAATATCCCCCAATCTTAAAAATAACATATGCAGAAATTATCATTAAAATTTGTGAAAATATTTAATAAGACTGCTACCTCAACACAACAATTTAAAATTTGTTTCAGGCGATCAAAGTGGCCACTGAAGAACATGTATGATAACGTGGCAACGCATACGCGATTTTCCTCTTGGATGATTGGAAATGCGGTCGGTTACATCCTCTACAGCTACAGAACGAAGGGGAAGATAGAAATCGAAATGAGTCCTGTAAGTTTCCACGGTTTTCTCTTAAAAGAATTCAAAATAAAACACGCCGAAGAGATCAATATATTTTTTTTATCTGTGCCTAAATAAGGTTATGTACTAAGCAATTCATGCGAGTTTTAGATTCATTCTAATAGTGAGATTTTAGGTTCTCACGGCTACGAGGAAGATGACTGCCTTCTGAGATAATGGACCTGAAGTCTGGTAGAAGTTAAATACGTTTTATCGGGGTGACGAAACGTCTGTAATACTTTACACAGACTATACGACGCAATATCCTAAAAGACAGCCATCTTAATTCTAAAGGATTCTGGCTATTGTCTGTTAAAATCAGCTTTAATGCGTGTCCAAACTTGGCTTTCGTCTGGTATCCTGATAAAAGTTTCGACTTTTTCCGCTGATCACGGAAACGGATTTAGTTTCCGAAACTTTGTTCTCTTAAAAATTCCACACTATGAACGAAGTCCAGAAACCCATTAATACAGAGTCCTAGATTAATTATCTCAACGACTTTATTTATTAAATATATAAGATGTCACGGGATCAATAATACATTTTTATTACAGTGATTTGACTGTTTTGTATCGGATGACTTCAGTTTAAGGATATGTTCCGTGTTTTGTCGTAGACTACTTTGCTGTTCGGGTGGGTTTCTACCACTATGGCATTCGTGTATTCCCTGTTCGGAGTTATTACCTTCCAGCATCCCAACTATGAGGTCCTTGCAGTTTCGGACGCATTATATAACAGCACCTACCACGCCTTTTGGTCACTGGGTGTAGGATGGATCATTATTGCCTGTGAGTCAAATTACGGAGGTAAGTAATCGATATATAATTAATCAATATTTCTCCTGTATCGGATATCCTAATAGGCAAACTATTTATGCATGATGAGACTACTTTACTCTATAGAATTAAAAGCTTATGTTGATGAGTGACTGTGTAAATCTGATGGTCGCTTAACTATTCAAAAAAATTTGTGCCTTATATGTAATTCTACAGATAGTTATTGTGTTCACAAAATCCAGCTACTTAACTCGTCTTGGTCAATCAATCTAGTGTACAATATTACACATCGAAAAATTAGTTTTAATACTGCCCTCTGCCTAAGTCTAAATTACATTTGTGTGTATTTATATCGTATTTTCCGTTCGCGGTACTCGCCCCGACCTTCCGCTGCCGACGTTTCGTGAAAATAAATTTTAATGTTGCAGTCGTCCCAAATATTTTAACTTTAAATATTTTTAAGGTAGTATATTTGCGTCATATTGTGAATTAGTTTAATATTTTAATATTTTCCGTCAAATCACAATTTTAATAAGATAATAAAATATAAAATATTTAAAATATCATTTCACGTTCCAATTTGTAAATCGATCATTCGATACGGAACTTGAAATGATATTTTAAATATTTTATATTTTATTATCTTATTAAAATTGTGATTTGACGGAAAATATTAAAATATTTAAATATTTTATTATCCATCTTAGTAGATTTTATAATTCAGTCTGATGACAAAACCTGCACATATAGTGCGTAACAAATGAAATTAATAAAATAAGCTCTACTTTCGCTGACTGTGACTAATTTCTTATTGAATTCATTAAATTAACGTCGAAAATTTTACAGGGCTTGAAAATCATTACACAGTGATCTTAATACAGCACACCACATTACTTGGATCTTCCTATATAGTGTCTTTTTTTGTACTTAAAAAGCATTTTTTTAATTAAAGTTCAAGAACAGTATTAACTACAAAAATCTTAAAATATTTCTAATAGGATAATAAAGCTAACAACCACAATCTTAATTTGTTGTTAAAGCGTACGTACTGTTACAGGTGTTATTCACTCGATGTTGTCATGGAAGCTGTTTCAGCCTCTTAGCCGACTTACCTTCTGTATGTACCTGGTACATATGCCGCTGATGGCATCTAAAGCATTTATGACTAGAGTTCCTATCTACTCCAGCGGAATTAATGTTGTAAGTTAGTCCATGTAATTTGATTACAATTTCGTAGTTTTTCATTTAAGATATTAGACCCTTAACATAAATACTGATATGAAGATTTCAAGTATCATAAATTAATTGGAATCTCGACAATTTTCGAAAACTAATCGTCTTATCCCTGACAAAAATCTCAGCAAACGTATCTCGTTTCTGGAAGGAATCGAGTAGAAATTGAGCAATTGATATCGTATTTTTTTTTTCCACGTTGTGGAATGTTAAGACTTCATTTTGCATAAATTTAATCCTTCAGTGGCTTTATAACAACCTTCGCATTAGGTTGGTATGTAGATAGATACTCTAAATGAAGTGACTGAATTATCTAATTTTATACTGTTTTACGTTCATATATTTTCAGCTATGTCCCATCTTCGGAGACATACTCTCTTGCATTCTGCTTGCCATCGCCCTGTCGTTATGTGTGGAGCTGCCTTTTATCAGGCTGTTCAAATACGTTACTATGAAAGTGGGACGTAAGTATCACAATTGTAATTATTATGTCATTACTCTTCATACAAAACATTTCACCAAGAAATTCAACACTATTTTCATGGAGCAGTCCTCATTGATTACCTCAGAGGGCTATAATTTTCCGTTTATGGAATTCGAAAATTTATTTCGTTAAAATAATATTCCTAGTTAGAAACAGACTTCATCCTCTGTAGTTCTACAGCAAATGACGTATTTTTTTATGAATTTTGTATGATTCGAGTGAACGGTATTTATTACCATAAACAGCATTAACTATTTCATCTTTTAATGGCGAAGTGTAGTGTTTACTTTGAGGTACGGACTCAGTTCTTAACATCAGATGAGCAGGCCTTTTCTTCTCCAGTCTACCTTTATCAGAAGTATTAGTTGGTACTGCCCGGAAAAATACAAAAATGTATACCGGTTGACTGTGACGTGTCTCACCCCTTTTCCTTCCACTTCGTCATTTATTTGTTCTTCAAGGAGACGTGTTCTCTCCGTCTCTTCCAACTTTATCTCGTTATATGCAAGCCACTCACTGTATATTTTACTTCTTAACTACGTTTGTTTGTGTGGTCTTTATTATCGAATTTCTTATCAGTTCCAGTCAGACAAACTACTCCTCTGAATGGAAGCTGGTCCTTGCCAGAAAGAGTTCCCCTGTTGCGTGACTTGGCAATTGGTAGTTACCAGGCACTAGCCTCGCGTATGAGAATTTGCAGCCAGACTACACGAACACAGTCGACGGCTAGTATTTCTAATTTGGCACCTATACGTGAAAGGATTCCCATGCCACCTGCTTCAGCAGTTCAACAAGTTACAACTTTGCACCAGGAGGGTGATTCACAAACTGGAGTCGGTTCCTCTGAGATTTCTCAGCAAGTCACTTCAAAACACGCTAAGTTGTCTTCAGATTAAGTCTTAAAATAAACGGTCACCCGAAGGATATTTCAATATATACATTTCCAATATGACTTATATTAATTCGTTAATAGGGTAAAACATTTTCCATTTGTTTTGATGAATCTGGAAATGATTGTCTACATTTAAATATGAAAAAATTAAAATTTGGTAAACTTTTTTATAGATTTTATATTTCTCCAAACGTCTGTTTGAACAATACACATGAATAGTTTTCAGACTTTTGTTAAATTTCATAATCATTTTGAATCTAATTGCAGTTCCTAAATTGTAAGCAACAGTACTAACTAGTCTCAACTTTGAAAACTAGCGTGCGTTCCTAAGTTGTAAGCAACAGATCTGACTAGTCTCAACTTTGAAAACTAGCGTGATGTCATCAGATGATAGATAATTATGTTCGTGCAGAACTTGAATTGTACATCACTGCACTAATTAAGTGTTAACAACTTTTCATTATTAACTTATTTAATTGTGCCAAATTTACGGCATAAAGAAAATAGAATTTCCGGTTCACTTCAATCAAAGCACTCGAGATTATTTATTATACATTAATATGTATTTGAAACTAATTTCCTTCAGTCAAAATTTGAAGGTATTATTGTAAGAGTATTATTTATGTACTGAATATGAGTCTATGAACACTTTAAAAGTGTTGTACATTTGATATTGTTGAATAATTATTTATGAATAAAATACATAAAATATAATTATAAAGATAGTTGGTACTTTGTAATTCTTAAAAATCTGGCACATTTTATATAATGTTTTGTGTAATAAAATTGGAATATGAATAAGGTTATTTCTTATAATTTCACAAGTCTTCGGTCATACCTCAGTCAAAACCTGGATTATAATAATCTGAATACAATCTTTTATCCCAGAATATTTTGGAGGAAAACAGTAAAGTCTAACACCCACTTCTCCATCAAATAAGTTAAAATAATTTGGGTAATCATAAGAAAATTCTTCTTACATATACGAGCGAATTGATTCACGTCATACCGTAGCATACAGCAATTTGTTTAGTACTTTCGTCATTCTGTCATCGTGCACATAAAGTACAGCGCTTTTGTCAGACTGGACCTTCAACGTATTTGAAGAACAAAATTGTTACTTGGAATCATTGAGTCTAATGGGCCTTTAAAACTTTCTTTCTTCGAAATGCTAAATCAGTCTTGTTGCCTACGCGTTCAGACCCTAAGTCGTTTCGTAACTGCTTAATGGATCAAACACTGGCCAAAATTTTTATATTAATATGGCCAAAATGAGGGGATAATTAAATGGACACTCAGTATTTACGATGAACAAAATTTTAGATTCTGTAACTAGTAAGTTTATAAAAATAAACTATTTCTTTATGCAAACTGTTGTTAAATTACAGCTTCCCATCATAACTTTAACAGGATTTGTAAATCCCGTAAAAGTCGTGGGAATATTCCTAAGACATAAAAATTGTGCAATAAATATGTGATAATTTAAGTGATCGGCTACATATTCCATCATTTCCTTTAATAAAAAGTAATCTTCCTCTTGCTTTCATCTCTGTTTCTTTATAAATCATCAAGACCACGCCATAGTTTCTTGAACAATGCGATTCGTGCTTCGTACGGCATACGTCATCCTTTATTTGCCACCGAATATTCAACGATCTTGGGCTTTAAATTCCTGGTTTATAGTCCCTTCTTCAATTGATCTCTTTGAAACAACACGCGACATGTCAGTTTTCCCATTAAGTTGCGTTTTATCTGAAACAGAAGTAATGTCGGCTTAAAATAAGCAGATTAAGTATTAACTAAAATATTTATAAATCTAATTGATCCTGTGTTTTCAAAATCGGATAATAAATTCTATAGGATGACCAAATAGAGGAAAAGGGATAGACGATTTATGAAACACGCACCCACGGAGAAGATTCATACAAAATTTTTGACGGAAAACGTTAAGGGAAAAGGACCACTGGGAAGATCTAAGCTTAGATAGAAAAACACGTCAAGAAACAGCGTGTGACAAGGTTGAATGGATTTATCTGGCTAAAGGCAGAGACTGTCGGTCTCTTGTGAACACGGCAATAAACATGAGGATTCCAGAAAACTCAGAAAATATCTTGACTAGCTGAGCGACTATTAGCTTTTCAAAAATAATTCCCCATAGCGCAGTTTTAATCATTCATATAACATGACTGCATGTTCCTGACAAACAACTGAAATACAACACCATATAATAAATAATTTTGTTTCTGAATCGATCAGGTTGGAAATACATTATCGTTTTACAAAAGTGCTAACACGTTCCAACAAACTGTAGTATGTAAGACTTGAGGTTCTCACAGCGGTGAGTCTAAAGATTTCTGTCTTCTGGGTTGTTGCGCTGTGTAGTCTGGTCGATGTTAACCAACGTTTCAGAGGTCATACTGCCTCCGTCATCAGGGCGATGAGTATGAAGATTTCTGTCTTCTGGGTTGAAATCTTCAAACTGTAATATGTTTCGTCATAATGAAACCCGCAGACTCACCTTTTTGCAGAAGGATTCTTTTAATTGTTATCGCCGGTATTTCGAACACGAGTGACATGAGAGCGGCAAGCAGAATCGAAAAAACCATGTCACTGAGAGACTGCGACATCTACAACAAGTAACAGACATTAGGATCTCCTCTTGACTTCTTTTCCTGAAATATACAGATGATAATATATTCCCAGAAAAATGTTTAGATTTTTTAAATTCATTTCATTATAATATAGATTAATTCCATTCACAATGTACAGAGAGTTAGATCAATTTACTACTCACAGTGTTTATGTTATTTAAGTACACGGGTGTCCTGGTTGTGCTCTGACGATAGGACATGAAGGGGTAGTGGACGAGGTAAATACAATATGTAAGACGACTGAACGGGTGGAAAGCTCCCCATGACAGAATCTTGTTCACGGGGCCTTAAAATACAAAGGAAAAAATATGTTTAAATAGTTAACATGAGCAAGAAATTTTACTACAGAAGAAGTAAGGTAGTATATTTGCGTCATATTGTGAATTAGGTTAATATTTTAATATTTTCCGTCAAATCACAATTTTAATAAGATAATAAAATATAAAATATTTAAAATATCATTTCACGTTCCGCATCGAATGATCGATTTACAAATTGGAACGTCTCTTACGACATGTTTCGGTTATATTTAACCGTCCTCAGGTATAAATTAGATTGGTAAAATTTAAAACTCGAATTACAGAAGAAGTGTTAAAATACCCCTATCAAATATACCACTGAGAATAAAGGGTTTTAATTAATAATATTTTTAGGTTATTATGATATCACGATTCAATTGAGATTTACTTGAACAATGGCTTTCTCATGAAATTCCTACAACCTTTAAGAACTATAGTATTTAATTAACTGTTTTGTGGTGTACTATTATATCTTCGTTCTATATGATCTGCATACAAAAAGCGCAGTTTTTCTTTCGATTATTACATGGAGATCGGTTTATCTTGCAAAAGATAGAAAAACTTATTTCTCCTTAAACCCGACAATAATATTTAGACCTTTATTCCACACTTGTAAAAAATTTGTTACAGAATATTTTCTTAGCCATGCATGGAAACTATATAATCATTTTGCCTGAGATAAATTCCCATCAACTCAAGACAAATTTTTAAATGGCTGTCTTCTGATTTATAACGCCGTTTAGTGTGCTAAAAGTTTACCAACCTTTTTAGAAGTCCCTGCTGCCCCCATTATCAGGGTTACTATATATAAAACGGCCCTCAGAGAACCTCAAATTCTACTACACAGCTTTGTTATTATGTATGATGTCACATCCTGTAGCAATGTTCTTGCACACGGGAATACATATTCATAAAATCATCTTAATCTATCACCAGTTTCATTGTCTTCGTGCAGTTTTTAAAGAAAATTCAGTTTTTGAGTCTGGGTAAAAAACTTCTGAATACTAGAGCCTCTGGTTCGTTGATCTTACCTCCATATCCCTTAACGCAAGCGAAGATAATCCATCCCACAGATACGGACCAAATAGCGCGGTGCAGACAATTGTACAGAGAAGATTCGAGAGCATCGTAGACGTAGTCCGGCTGTTGGAAGGGTAGCAAACCATACAGGGCGCCTAGGAAGCCCACTGCTGCCAGAAGCCATCCTCCACAAACTTGCAGCTGAAATACAGTTTCAGGCTTTTAATGAAGGCATTCCAGGTTCTCATTTTAAAAATATTACGCAAAAATATAAATTATTTCTCAACTCGATTTCCACTGCGGTGAACCCCTGGCATAGTCATGCTAACACTATATAAAACATTCACTTCCTAACACTCCTTATTTTAGCCCTGAAGATGGAGGCAGTATGTTCCTCCGAAACTTTAATACCCATCTGCAATTTCATACGGCATCACACCCCAAAAGACCATCATCAAAACTTTTTATAAATCTGAAAAAAATATTTGTAATTTAGCAGAAGTATTTTAAAATATTTTTTTTACTTTAACATGGAGAATATTCTTTGAAATTTTATATTTAACCAAATATTATTACAATAAACTAATCAGAAATATGGTTAGATTAGCGAGGCACATATCATGCATATCAGATATAAAAAGTGCGTCCAGCACCTGAAGTGCAAATACCGCTTTTGAGAGCTTAGTGCAAATGGAAGTATAATATTAAAATGTATGTTAGAGAAATAGAATAGGTTTATGGGAACTGGTTTCAACTGGCTCAGGTTATGGAGCAAAGGCGAACATTTATGAATAAGGTAACAAATAAGTAGGCATATCTCGACCATATAAAGAATTATAACTAATTAATTAAGTGTAGTAAATTATTCTGTCTTATAATGTATGACATACCTCGGTTAAACGGACCTTGTTCTTGGTATTGTGTAAAATGTATCCCAGACTGAGTCCGATAATCCAAGGAGTACATCGTGTATGAGTCGTCACGTATTCGTATTTATTTTTATCTTCCCATTCAGGACCCCTACAAGAACACAGAATCAATTAGTTTTAACATAAGAAACTGAGAACAGATTAGATATACAAACTAAAAGTAGCTTTTGATTCACTACAGAAGTGTACAAATGCTGGAAATAAAATAGATATATTTTGAACCCGGAAATACTTCATCGAGGATTTATAATTCTTGTCATAAAATTCCGCATTTAAGATTCAGTATGAAAATGTCTGGACTGAACTACTTCTTACACTCCAGCCAAGACGCCTGCTGGAAATCTATTGACGTAGGTCACTGTAAATGAGCAGACAATTCCTCCAGCGACGAGCGCTCCCAGAAGCAGGAGATTTAACTTCCGGGGCCATTTCAGCATCGGCCATAGTATTAGCGGTGAGATCCAGAAGAGCTGCATATCCACGGACAAGTACCAGCTGTGGGCGACGCACTGCGAAGGGTAATACTTACTTTAATATTAAGTAAATCTGCGTTTTGTACAGAAAGTATATTTATGAGTTTCATATGATTCTGAAGGCAAACACTGAATATTTCTTTTACCAAATTATCATTATTTTCTTTTAGGTACGTGCTGAATGTTTAAATAGCATTTAGATGGGTTTTGGCTTCAGTAGGTTAAATGTAATGAGGTGGTTGTACTTTAATCCTTATGTCTACATTAATCAATCGCAATGTTATGTTAATTGGATTGGACTGAAACTCAGTTGACATAAACACTTAATATCTCGGGAAAAATAGCTTGAATTTGAGTAACAGATTATTTATTTTTATGTAAAACGTATAACAGGACACAAATATTTATTTATATGAGAAAATTAATCAGTTTAATAATTTGTATAGAACACAAATTAGTGAAACATTATTTTCTTCTACATGACCTGTTATTATTTAGATTTCTTCTTGAGAATCTAACAGGAGTTCAGACGTCTAATACAATCCGTGTGTTTATGTAACCAAAAACTTCATTATTAATCATTTGATTAAGTCTCGACCTTACACTCTGGTGCTTTGATGTACATTAATATTATCCTTCCATCTAGGTCTTGGTCTCCTCAGCCACTAGATTTCTGAGTGTATTTATCAACTTCATTTATCTACTAGAATAAGTTTAAATAATATGTATTAACCCTTTCTCTGACACTTTTATAACTGTATTATGTCTGCCCATCCATATGACGTTAGCCAATTTAACTTTGAAATATTATTGAAATTTTGTGATAAGTTTGAGACATTTGTTTCACAATAATTTAATTACGTTTTCATTGGCGTTACAAGTATCCGTAATAAAATTTTAGGTCCATGGCAACCCGTAATTGTAAATATTTCTTCTGTTTCGTATTACTTAAATACTGTAGAGTTTTAGCTTCAGACACTTGTCACATCCGACGTTCTTACCATCCTGTCACCGCTGACGTAGTTCTGCACGTACAGCAGGGCGGACCACCAATTTTCCATGCACATCTCAGTGAGCAAATGATTATTTTTGTCCCACAAAGGTCCTGTACCCAGATGGTCTATGAGACTCAATTGCAGTAACACCATCACGGCTAACGGAGGTGTCAATCTGGATAAGAATCAAACACAAATGTGCATGTCTCTCACTTAGCTGATTAATCCTTTCCAGTCCAGTGATAAACATATAAACCGCCCGCTTTAACAATCAATAACTCTGCATTTTGTATTTATGGGTTTCGTATGATTATCTCTGTAAACAGCGATTATTTCCATAAACAGCGTTAACCAGTTGATCTTAGTGATGGTGAAGTAGTGTTTTCTTTGCGGTACGGACTTGATTAACAAATTTGAACGATCTTCGGTTTCAAAGGCTTACGTTTGCTAAAAATAAATTAAAGGAACAGTTACTAGATTCATAATATCATTCCGATAATCCATTTGTCAAAAATATAGCTTAAACTTTATGTTTAATATTTTTTTAAAAAAAGTTATTTTTATTATTATTCCGTACAGCGATAGAATAATTGAATAGCTTGACGGAAAGGGAAAATAGTTCTAATTTTTATAATATTAGCGTGACGTGATCTGAATTGCATGTCTGTGGATGTTGGATGAATGATCTTTACTTTATGTTAACTTTGAAATTTCTGTTGCTGTTAACATTTATCCCGTGTTTGGTGGAAAGTACTAGACTGTAAAATTACACGTATTAAGACATGAGTAGACAGTTTTTAGCATTACTAACAAACAGAATCGGTCGTTGTCTAATTTAAATTAAATCTCCGCATTACTCTTAAAGACTGAGAAATATCAAGCAAACCACCAGTCACTTTGCATGTATTCTGTCTGAGATCGATCATGGAATGTCCTTAATACGAAGCTCCAATGATAACTACTCAGGCGAAAAGTTTTTCCAGGCACACGACTTAGCGATAGGAATACGAAGCTCTAATGATAACTACTCAGGCAAAAGGTTTTTCCAGGCACACGACTTAGCGATATAAGCTTATAAAGACTCGTGTTCCTGACTGTCCAAACCTTACCTAATGTATCGGTGTAGATAGAAAAGTGGGACGTTGAAGCACTTCTCTTGGTGTCCTTCCATGTTTCTGAGCCACACGTAGGTCACCAGGAGTCCACTCAGAAGCAAGAAAGTGTCGACGGCCAGGACACTGTTCACGATGAGTATCGAGCTCCACTCTTTGACATACTAAGGGAAAAGACGATTATTTTAAGTCCTGTTAGTGGAGAAATGGTATTACGTTATGCAGTGTCTTAACAAAGTTTGTTTAACTTTGCAGATTTATTAAGACGATAAAATATATTATTAAATTCCGTGTTTTTTTACGGCGGGAAAAAGTTAAATGTATTAATTTTCCATCACCATGACTTTGTCCCCCTAATTAACTCGTTAGATTACAGTCTTTATTGAGAAGCTCACAGTCGCTTGCGTAGCCAAAATATTCCTCGACTTACACGGAATCAGAATGTTCATTACCGCATTCACAATAGCCCATAACTAATCCTTACCTTAAACCAGATGAATCTAGTACACACAATCACACGTTATTTAAGATCCATATTAATATTATCCTGCCATCTGCGGCTGGGTATTATTTTATTTATTTATAATTTGTTTAAAAATTATGTTAGTAGCTCAGACTAAGTAACGTCAAATGATATGGTGATTATTACTGAGATTATTTTGCTAGATGGACTGAATAATCTCAGTCAGGAGAGACTGTCTCAGGGCTGAGATTTGAACCCGCAATTTCCCGGATACGAAGCAGGGGTACCAACCACTCTGCCGTGACGTTTGACTTCCATACATTTCTTAGTTCAACATGGCGTTTTTTTGAGTAAATGAACTTACGCTGTACGCAATCAGCTGATTTATGGCCGGTACATCCATTGATATCATGTATCTGTGACCCAGTACAACCCACCAGATGCTCAAAAAGCGAATGCCATGTAGACAGGGCAGCGTATCTGCAGACGGCTGTGTAACCAGCAGCTTCATGCCATTAGTGTACAGTGAAAATGCGATAAGTATTTCCCTCCTTGAATCTGAAACACCAGTCATCACTAGATGTAAACGATAAGAAGTCCTGCAAGGGTTTGTTACGTAAGCTTGCCTTACGTAAATAATAACAAGTCCTCCAAGGGTTTGTTACGTAAGCTTGCCTTAAAATTTAGGTGTTGGTCTTCTGGGCTGTAACGCCGTGTGGACTTGTAGGTAAAGACCAACGTTTCGGAGGAACGTACTGCCTCTATCTTCAGGTTTGAAGATGGAGGTAGTATGTCCATGTTGATCTTCTGGGTTTAAACCTCGTGTGGGTTTGTGTTTCTCCAAAAATTTTGGTGTCTACCTACAAGTTTACTCGACGTTCCAGTCGGAATACAGACATGGATAACTTAGCTTTGTATCGTTGCCATGACTACAATAGAAATACCATGCAATACAGATTATTAACTAAAACTACGTTCTTTATTCTTAAGGGTCCGAATTAATGTAAAATGTATTAAAATAATTAAACTGCTTATATGAGTTGACTGAGGAAAAATATGTGAATGAACTTTACACTTCTTTTCAGTTATTTATTACGATGACGCTGAATATTAATTGTGTTGTTCATTAAACGGTTTCGAAACAACGAAACATCTGTGGACATATACGCTATAAAACATCGGTTCTCTTTACCTGGAAACAGAGATAAATAAAAAAATAAATAAGAGAAGACAGTGATGTTATATAAAAATTTGAGAGATAACGGTGTGTTCATATTCCTTCAAACCAATTATTTTGAGGGGAGACAATCATTTAGACTATCCACTTGTACTGTCATTCTAATCATATCTGTTCTAGACTAACATAATGGTAATTTAAAAATATATTTTGTTGTGACGAGTATCGAAGAGGGTTCTACACTATTTTATCTTAATATTTCTTTATATTACCTTTCTTCAGAAGGTCGTACGAGGTACTCAGAACGACGATTAACCCAAAAAAGACGAATACTGCACTGAAAAAAAAAAAGAATTGATCGTGAAGTTTTCAGCATCACTGAATTCGTATCTTAAATGTGATTTATTACGCACATCAGGCGGACATGTTGACAAGTCATCAAAATCTTTATCACATGGAAACTTGCTTGTGGCCTTGCATTCATATTCACGTCCTTCGCGGTTTTAAGCATCGAACAGCGACCGATAACTCAACTCTAAAGACCAGAGAAGGAACTGGAGCTGAAATTTTACTTGTAATTGTAATTGGTGTGAAACATGGTCTCTCATCTTCAGGAATGAACAAAGATTGAATGTACGAAGGATAAAATTTGAACCAAAAAAGTTACCGGAGGCTGATGTAAATCGGATAATGAAAAGTTGTATGTAGACAAAAGAAGTACTCTCAAAAACCTGAAGGAAAGTGACCACTTCAAAGAAACAGGCTCATATTGGGAGATAATATTAAAATGGTTTTTAGGGAAATAGAGGGTGTGGGATGGATTCATCTGATTCATGATAGAGGGCGGTGGTGGATTTTTAAGAAGGACTCAGCTCTACGGACTTAGTTCTGGCAATATCACTTAAACCTGGATAAACTACATTAATGTTGGTCTTTCGTGAAATTTTACGTCTGTCCAGACAGCGATATATTAAATTTTTATTTTAATAATCAGGATTTTGCTTAGATAAGTTCTCATTCTGTGTTGTTTAATGACAGTCATACAAGAATAATTTTAATTGTACATTGATATCCCAAATGATATGTCCAAAGTTGAAATGCCGTTTCGTCTGTGGTTTGGAGTGAAGGGGGGTGTAAACTGCTAAGTTTCTCTTATCTTACATGGTCACCCAGTCGATCGCTCTGAATTCTTTTTCTTTGTTGGTATGGCAGTTCAATTCGCTGACATCTATAGTGACGTCATGGTGTAAAATGGCGCTCAGACCGGCAACCAGATCTTCAGCACGACACGTGGATGGAATACAGAATCCCCACTGCAGCGTTACAGAATTCTGAACGCCAGGCTGTTTCGGAACAAAACAAAAAAAATTATCTTGGCAAATTCCTGTAGAACGTGATCGAACTGACTTTCATTTTGGATCTTCTCGATTATCACAATATTAAACATTAAAAAGTAAGGTGTTTTTTTAGTAAATTCAAATCGTCCTCAAAAATTCCCTCAGTTTGTAATCTTCCGAGTCTTAATACTGTTTTGAGTTCTTTGCGTGAAGCGAAAAGAAGAATGTATTATGGTCTGGTCGTATGAAAATTTAAATTCCACCGCCTTAAAAATTTTAGATGTTCCACCACCACTTTTTCGTGCGTGCGTGCGTGCGTGTGTTTTTTCTGACATATTTGATATATTTTTTGTAACAAGCATCTGTAAGAAGTTAATTTTTTTCTATGGTAAAAGACCAATGGTAGAGTAAGGCAAAGAATGGAAAACAAACTAAAATATACGCCAAAGATGCTAGAAAACTGATTGGTTAAAATCGGTTTTCGTAAATAAAGGAACTACTGAAACACGCGAGAAACTTCAATTCGATAACAAGTTAAGAGATCAAAATAATAATCAAAATCTGTCCGTCCGTTCCACGCTGTTTCTCCCAAAAGATGCTTCTTACATAAAACTTATAAAAACAAAAGACTCCCCTCTTCGAGAGACACCCACAGGAATTATTTCCTTTGCTGTTTCGAAAATGACCCACAGGGTTATCGTACAACGCTTTACAGAGCATTTTAAGACCGTCACAGTCTTTATATTTCCTAGTCCGTGAACACAATCAACCCTGAAGATGGAGGAGGTATGTTTCTCAGAAACACCATTATCTGCCTATAAGTCAACACGGCGTTTCGACCCAGAAGACAATTTCATCTTTGCGTTTTTTAAATTTATTTTGTAGGAATGACGTATTTTTTCAACTTATAAAGAGTGGTCCAAGATAAGTATTTAAACGAATTAAACCGAAGTTTTTGCCTGTAATTTTATTATTACTAACGTTATTTTTTATTGTGGTAAGTGTTCTGAATTATTATAATATTGTTATATATGTCGACTTTACTATTAAATTATTTGAATAAATGATTCCAGTATTAATTCCAGTATTATTTTCTCTACCGGCTTTTGCACGCTCAGTGGTGGCTGTTGTGTGTCAATCATGAGCAGAAACTTTTACAAGTGCGTCGTAATAAACTAGTTGTTTAGGAAGTGCGTCGCAGATGTGCTGTGGCGTTATAAATACAGCAAGGCCAGTTACTTACCAGTGCTATAAATCTTCTTGTGGACATAAATGTGTCATTCTCCCACGTGAGCTTTGCTAGGCAGTGTTTTCCACTAAATGGGCCCAAATCTGTCTGTACATCCGTCACTCCGATGCATTCGTCAAAGTTCCCTATTGAAAACAAATTTCCCACCAGGATTCCAGCTTCTAGTTTGGCCGAAGAATCCAACACTAAAATGATACAATAAAATATTAACACCAGACAGTTTCGCCGAAGAATCCAACACTACAATGATACAATAAAATATTAACACCAGATTTAAAAATCGATACATTTTACAGATCTGAGGAATATTTTTACTTTGGTTGATTAATAGATTATTTAGCGAAGATATTTCAAGTATAGAAGTTACAGGCTCTAACATCGAAGGTAAAGGCAGCATGATCATGAATAGTCATTGTGTGCATATTTGGAAGGACGCTATTTTATCCAAAATTCGTTTAAAGAGACTGAGGAAATCTATGAACGCCTTAGCCAATTAGCCGATAAATCTACCTTCCTACTAACATTTATCGGTTGTAATGACTCTATCACATGTACTACTACTTGTGGTTTTTAATAAATCCAGAAATGAGAGCTATGATTATAAACTAACTAATTTCGTGAACCGGAGTCCACCTTAAGAAGCTAATACCACGTTAAGTCGGCCATGAGATTTCTAGCCTTTTATTGAAACCGGAAGTTCATCACCGTGTTTACAAGAGCGGGTAAGTGGTATTATCCCTAGCTAGATAAATCTGGTCCATATTATAACATCTTATTTCTTTGGAATTAATTTTAATAGTGTAATCTGCACTTAGTTCTTCCAAGTTGTCTTATCCTTCATCGGAAAAACATATTTTATATGAACGGTCCAGACACAGCATCCGATGTTAGCATTAAAATTTTTATCTCTTTCGAAATGAAGAATGCATGAAGCAGACATGGATAAGGGGGCTCAGAATTTTATCTCAATTGTTCATATTAAACGTATCAGCTCTAAACTAATATCTGGTTGAAACTGGGTCATGTGTTTATGATTAATCGATTAATATTTTATGCACTCTAACAATTTTCATTATAAAGTACCAAGTGCAATAGGATTTTTTTCGTAATTAAAACTGCGCCTATTTGTTGCTATAACTTAAAGTAGGCTATGTAATTTTGTTTTTTGCACTGAATTGATACGCTGTTGCTCTCTGAACCCGCTGGTACACATATATAGGAGAAGATAGGAGAATAATATTAAAATGGATCTTATAAAAACTAGGTGAGGAAATGGTCTAGATTCATTTGGTGGGCTCTTGTGAACACGGTAATCGAACTTCTAGTTCCATAAAACGCGGAGAAATTTTAGCTGACTATCTCCTTAAGAATAATTTTACTCCATGGAGTTGCTTTCTTAAGCACGAATCTAGTACGTTTCGTTTATACTAACATTCACTGAAAGATGACAGGACATTTTTCTTAGATTACCAGTTGAATGAAAGTATAAGTCCGCCTGAAAAATTTGTATAACAATCTATTCTTTATTCATCTGAAATTCTTGTTTGCGTTTATGGAACGAAATCCATACCATAGCGACAAAGCTCTATATTTTCATTCCGGAAGTTGTCTGTTAGATTAACAAATACCTTCCCTGAGGTTTGCCCAGGAGAGTTTAAGGATAATATTTTGAAATTAGCCTCGATACAGCCTACCGTATTCTTACCTATTAACATTTACGATAATCTCCCCATCTCATTTAGCATAGTTATTTAAAAGAACGTCTTTTAATATCCTACGAATCCATGCCTAAGATTCGTGATATATCGAGAGAAAAAAAAATCTTCAATGTTACGTATTGCATCAGTCTCCGCAGAATTTAATATCACAGAAACTATGCAGTAGAAAACGCATCGTTAAACAATCAAAGACTCGGTCCGCCATTCGTTATCTCTAGATGCGCCTGACCTCGTTTCGATTCGCTCGAGGCGTCGCAGAGAGTGATTTTCGAGAGTTGTGGGCAGCTGGTGTCAAGGTCGGCGCGTACTGGTGTCAAGGTCGCAGAATCAACGGCGAAATCCTTTCCAATGCAAATAGAGATTGGATCGACAACAAGAATAATGCGTCCCACGCACGCGATTACACGTTCAAACAAAATGTGAGACACGTGGCGATGAATATTTCCGAGAGGAAAATGGCTGCCTTGCTGATGTGAGCGTGGTCACATGGGCAGGGGGGAAATTCTAAGTGATGATGTCATCACCTAACCTAACCCAACCCCGTCGACGCTAAACACCATTGGCCCCAGAATAATCTGATGTCACTCGCGCCATTTTCGAACGTCAAAATACAAAGCACGGCATCAGAATTGTTACTCTACATATATATTTCCTAACTTGTTCAACCGGCGTAGATAATAATGAGATTGGTCTGGAGGTTGTGAAATGTATTCTGCCTTAGGATATGACCAGTGGCGAGATATTGTGGACACGGTAATAAATTCACTCTTTCTATCAAAGGCGGGAATTTCTTGATGACTACAATTATTATAGCTTCTCAACAAAGATTCTGATTATTGAAGTTATTTAGTTAGTATCTTTGCAGAACCTATAGAAGTTTTAACGTCACTGAAAAGTCTGTAGTATTTTAGAAAAAAAAGGAAGTGGTCTGTTTCCAACACCCCAAATTCACTGCTTAAATGACAAAAAAAGTTCAATCCATTTTAAACCTGGATCATCTATCTCGCTTATACGAGATTTTACTAGCAACTTTAATGACAAGCGTGACACTTTCTGTGGACATTACCCATCGCCGTGGTTATTTGGGAGGCGATACGTTTCGAAAGCTACATTTGTTTCCATCTTCAGGAATAAATGGGCGTTGGTGTACAGAAAGTAAGCGTTCTTGTTCATTTGGGCCCCTCAAAACGAGTTGGTCTTGATCACAGTTATCTTATGGTTTTTGCCATAATTTTTATCCTCGATTCAGTTTCTATCCACAAATTATGATATTTGGCATTGACAAAATACATACTATAGTTAGAAATTTCTTCGTTGTTCAGTGAAATAGATTTTTAATTAAAAATAGGAAACAAAATTAAATAATAAAAAATAAATGTTATTATTATATTACATACGTTATCTATCTTCTCGACTACTGAACCACTGGTCGAGTTATCGATATTTGCTCGTTTTAAACGTCCAAACTTAGTATAAACCTCTCTTGACCCCTTTTTATACCTGAAGATGTAAACAGACCCTATTTCCGAAATGCTGTTTGCGAAAAGAAACTATACGATGGGATAACATCACTAACAGTGTCATATTTATTTATTACTGATTCCTAATTACGTCAATAAATACAGAATTTGTAAATAATTGCTCTATCTATCAAATGTTTTAAAATATTTTAAGCATAAACCTTAAAAACTATATTAAACTGAAATCTTCATTACTTACTCCGGTAAGCCCATGGTATACCATTTCTTAATCCATCTATGTATATGTCACTGTGGTTTCTACACAGATCATTTGTAGAATTTTTTGAAGTTGGCGCAATAAATTCTTCAATTTTACCTATGAGTTGTTTCGGAATTGTTTCATCACTGCCTATTAATAACTGCAAAAATGACTGATGTCCTGTTTTTTCTAAGACGTTAATATTTTCATCTGACAACGTTCGATTTATAATACCAGAGAAAATTATAAACTTCATTAAAAAAGTTTTAATTACAACCATCCTATTGAACTGTTACTTTAATCTGATCTCACATAAAAGTTTTCTTTTTACAACGTCAGTACCTGATCGAGTAAACATCGCTACTGGAGTTACTTACTACACGTCTGTTTGCTTTTATATCGACTTGAGCGAATTTGCATCCGATAACTCTTCACTACACTTTTTGATTGTAACCTTGACCGATTTGTAATGATACAGCCTATTTGTTAGTACTACAACATTTATCATTATACATGGATTTATTGAAACTTTGCTTAAACTTAGTAGATAATCAAATGCTTAGAAACCTTAAGTTGCATTTCGCTTTTCTTATGTTCCTACAATCGTAATATGCGTATTTCTTATGTAACATTAATTAATTTTATTAGCGTGATGTTCGTTCTTTTTTATCTGATACTGTT